TTGGAGTCCTAAAAAGTCACAGTGAACAATTCACTGGGGTCCTAGAGAGACACAGTGAACATTTCACTGGTGTATTAGGGTGTCACAGTGAACATTTCACTGGGGTCCTAAAGAGTCACAGTGAACATTTCACTGGAGTCCTAGAGACACAGTGAGCATTTCACTGGTGTATTAGGGTGTCACAGTGAACATTTCACTGGGGTCCTAAAGAGTCACAGTGAACATTTCACTGGAGTCCTAGAGACACAGTGAGCATTTCACTGGTGTATTAGGGTGTCACAGTGAACATTTCACTGGGGTCCTAAAGAGTCACAGTGAACATTTCACTGGAGTCCTAGAGACACAGTGAGCATTTCACTGGTGTATTAGGGTGTCACAGTGAACATTTCACTGGGGTCCTAAAGAGTCACAGTGAACATTTCACTGGAGTCCTAGAGAGACACAGTGAGCATCTCACTGGTGTATTAGGGTGTCACAGTGAACATTTCACTGGGGTCCTAAAGAGTCACAGTGAACATTTCACTGGAGTCCTAGAGACACAGTGAGCATTTCACTGGTGTATTAGGGTGTCACAGTGAACATTTCACTGGGGTCCTAAAGAGTCACAGTGAACATTTCACTGGGGTCCTAGAAAGTCACAGTGAACATTTCACTGGGGTCCTAGGGAGTCACAGTGAACATTTCACTGGAGTCCTAGATTGACACAGTGAACATTTCACTGGGGTCCTAGGGAGTCACAGTTCACTGGGGTCCTAGGGAGCCACAGTGAACATTTCACTGGGGTTCTAGAGAGTCACAGTGAATATTTCACTGGGGTCCTAGGGAGCCACAGTGAACATTTCATTGGGGTCCTAGAGAGTCACTGTGAACATTTAACTTGGGTTCCTAGTGAGTCATAGTGAACATTTCACTGCAAGGTAAACAAAATACTTACCTGACCCATGACCTTCCAATTTTAACCTACCTTAATCCATGGTCAGTAATCTGATAACAGCTGGAAAGACCCAAAAATTCCAGCGGCCTTCCTTGATGGAAAAGATCCCAGTTTGTGTCCCCAGATGAATACTTGGCTTTCCTGTTACGGCAATATTGACCACAGTCTGGTTTGCAAGTTACAATGTTCTCATACGAGTCAGTTACCGCAAGTGGTGGCTCAAAAGTGGTCCTGAGCTCACTGCTACAGTTTTGTTCATAAGTGATGGTTTCGTAACCGTCACTGTTTGTCCAATCTGTGTTAGTCCAAGATGCAAGTGTATTGTCTCTTGCAACATTAGCGATGTCTTCATTCAATTTGTGATCATACACATTACTGCTACCACTGTAGTCATTTGAAATCTCCCGTCGGTTTGAAATACAGTTTAATGTCTCATCACAACTCTCTATGGCAACCTCATCATTATTTGGTAATGCCATAGCAACCTCATCAACGTCTTTTTCATCATCATCATCATCCTCCACATCCCAGACACATTTCTCCACAACACTGTGACAGTCATTTATTTGTTGATTCGTGTCGGGAAGACAGGCGCCCACACAGCACATTTCAACCTTTTGGGGATTCATACCCAGGGCCTTGGCAAGGCGTACCAACGTTGTGTCAGTGATCTTTAAACAACCAGAAAGATCAAGGTACTTCAATTGACCGCCAGCTCCATTCCTGCCAAGCCTGTCACAATATAAATGAATGCAATATCAACTACAAACATAATAATACGATAGTTAACAATGTGATAACATGGATATAACTGGTTGTTAAGGAGATCTAGCGCCACCATTTAAATCCCTGAATCACAAGTTTTTAGTAACCATCAACATTATTGCAAAATAATTATTTAGTTTTTTGTGCAATTCCTTCCTTTATTTTGCCCAAGACATTCATAATGCATTTCTAGTATGAAAATCCTGAATCAGATTCTGAAATAAATTTTTAGCACTAAAATGGCTGGATCATGCTTAGGGACGATATGATGTATGTATGTGTGTGTGTGTGTGTGTGTGTGTGTGTGTGTGTAGTTTTAATGAAATTGGTCAAGGCATGTTTGTGATACAGACAAAAGTGAAATTACAAGTCCCTGTTTTTGGACTACGTCCAAACAGTAACTAAAAATAGGCAGAAGGAGGCTTTGTTCAGGTTGCATGATCATGGCAGCGGATCCAAGTATACTGTGAACCGTTTAATTCTCATTACTACGGTAGTCATTTTTAAGATTTCAGTATTTGTTAGCATTAGTGAAGACAAAATTGAAAAAAAAGTCACTGACACTCTGTGTACACTAGAGAATTTTATGCGCCATATGTGTCGCACTGTTATCATCACTGAACCTCGCATACCCGAAAGAAGCTGTGGTTAATTTTAACTTGGCCAAGGTGCATGGTCTAATTTACATTAGCTATTGGCCATTTTGAATCTGAACTGAAACAACAATGTCATGCACCAAAGTACAGCAGTCCTGCGTGAATCCACTACATAGCAGTAATAGATAAGTCACCAATGCTTTGCAATATATAATTCAGTATACAGCCATGTTCTGCTTGTGCATGTGATATTCTAGTTTAAATCTATTGTATTCACGAGAGAAATTGATATGAGTTTTCTGTGTTACCATCCAAAATGTTCTGATCAGAATAGCCCCACATTATTTTGAAAGTAAAACTTCAGGAAAAAATGGCCAAATTCTTCCCATGTATTTAGCATTTTCTTGTAGCGACATCAATCGTTTCAGATAGGCCTCATCTTGTGTGACGTCTTGATTGTAAACAAGCTCAGAAGTAAATTTTGTCACGACCAGCGTACCCATTAAGACTACATGACACGTCACTGGTGCACAAGGATTTGTTTTGATGCAACTAGTTATGCTATACTGGCACGTCATTAACACAACAGGAAATCATACATTGATATAGTGATCTTGAGAAACATTCACAAGTGTATAAAAACAAAAGAAATCAGTTTGTGTGTTAAGTCATTTATATAGCCATATGCAATTTTTCTTTTCCAGCTGACCTTTCATTTTTGGGAGTTCTATTTTGTCTCAAATTTAATTTGTCCTGTCAGAGGGAACACTGGTCACCACTGACTGTTGTAATGTTTGCATGTGTCCACGTTTGCCACAGGTATGTATCCAGTAAGCTGTAAGCAAAATGTGGATTTTTTAATTAATAGCTTGATTCTTACCCTTTGAATGCTACATCAGATACATTGGTCTCTGACAAATTCAAGTGTTGTAAATTAGGACAGCTGATAATCATCTTATAAACCTATAAAGTTGAGAGAAAAAAAAATGAATACTGTATAAGGTAGTAAATTCTCAAGCTGAATGTGCACTATGGAGAGTATTTCACATTGAATGTACGGTTTATAATCATCTTATAAACCTATAAAGTTGAGAGATAAAAAAATGAAGACTGTATAAGGTAGTAAATTCTCAAGCTGAATGTGCACTATGGAGAGTATTTCACATTGAATGTACAGTGCATTGTGGTAGGTTTCCCACTGAATGTGCAGTGCATTATGGGTGGTTCCCCACTGAATTGCAATGCATTATGGGTGGTTTCCCACCGAATGTGCAATGCATTATGGGGGGTTTCCCATCGCATTGCAATGCATTATGGATGGTTTCCCACTGAATGTGCAATGCATTATGGAGAGTTTCACAATGAATGTGTATTAAATATATTGAAGAGTTATTCGCTTATTTGAAAATCACTTTTTTTGAAAACTTGGATATCATATTGGATTTATGTTAATGACTTTTTTCAAGCTATATTAATGAGCAAAATGTCTACATACAATGAAATGCACTAATACAGTGTCACTGTTCCAATTTTCCCCAAGTACTACTTTAACTTTCCAGCCCTGAATTGTTCTTGGAAGGATGAAGGTTAACAACCAATTGCCAGATATTCTTCATCTATTCTTTCACAGTCAGTGTATCCAAAGATACAGAATTCAGCCAAAATCACACCAACCCTGTTGTTTAAATTGTGAGAAAAACCCTGCCATTTCTGACCTATTCCAATCGACTTTGTTAGCAACCCATCTCTGTTATTTTTATAGCTTTTTTTTTGTGTTTTTTTTCATCTTAGTTTGATAGTCCTATGAGCTTTGTAAGCTTTTATTCTACATTCAAATTCAGATATAGCCACAGCAGAATAATTAAATTTTCAATAATTAAGCAAACACACATTATTGACACTTACTACGCCATTTGTGATAGCATAACTATTAGACAACACCAGAGTGTGTACATTCCAGCCAACAACTGGAATCAGATATTTCGATATCTCTGTCAAGGACCTGGCTTCTTTACGGATACACATAGCCTTATAACTGAGAATACTGGTATCGCTGGCATCACTTTCTTCGGACTCATCAAAGTCTGCGTCATCGTCAATAGTGACGTACAAGTCTTCAGTGCTACTGCTGCTGTCTAATTGCTTTTCAGTGTCTTCATTGCTTTCATTCTCTATCAGACCAAAATACCAAGAACCTGTGTAGAGTACAGTAATCTCTTTATTAATTGCACCAACGTATTTTTGCTGAAACAGGAATTTGTTATTTTCTACAAGCAATCCAGATATCAACCCACCTTCACATTCACACCCAATTAACTGTGTTTTATTTCCCACTATTTTCGTTTCAGCGTTACCTCCATCAACACTGTTAATTCTACAATAATGTGTCCTGATTGACTGAAACCTACTCTAGTAATTTTAATTCACCTTTGATCCATCTTACTGGGTGCAGACACTGCCATAGCTTGCCAGACAGAGCTAGCTTAGACCAACTATGACAGACCATAGCACATCGACACAAGTCTTTTGGTCCAAGAAAACCAAAAATCTTCAGAATGATTTCAGGAGGGATTTTATGCAATAAATTGTCTTCTCCACAGCAATCTTCTACTGAATAAGACAAGAAGATAAATGGTATAAATGGTATAATAGTATATTATCAATATTTACAAAAAGTTGCATTGCTATATGTGTACTTACCTACATGTCCTATCGGTGAGAAAAAAACATCACATTTATTAAGGATATGTAGACAGAAAAATTATGTAAAAAAAACTAAGGACACGAAACCAGCTGAGCACTCACATGAATTGGATTCAGTGTCCTAAGCAGATTATATTGAATTTAGTTTGTATTGAATAAAAGTTGCCATCAGAATAAATTAACAGCCAACATTTAAAATACTTGCACAAACTCCAGCTACATTGGACCAATAAAGCTTAGAACAATAAGATTATAGCCAAGCTATCATAAAATGAGAACACCACCTACCAGTTGGTTTCTCTTCAGTATCCTTTAAATACTTGGCATACTCATCAGGACTACTGTTCAGCTGAGAGTGTCTCTCTAACACAGTAAACTTGATCACTTTCAACTCATCAAACGTGAAGTATTTCATGAGAAGCTGCTGAAAAACCTAGAACATAATGATGATGCACATACAGTCAGTAAGTCACAGTACCAGTAGTAGCAGCTAGGTTTCATTAACACATGCCACTAAAACATGTACATGCACTTCCAAATCGTGGCTGTTACACATGAAACAGCACAGCTCTAAAAATTAAGAAAAGTAAAAAGACACTGAAATGTATGTGAATTACTAATACACAAACCATATGAAAACAAAAATGCCAAAAATACATGTCGTACAATCACTGATAACCACTATAATTAACTGGTTATCCTATTGTCTCAGAAGTGTTCCAAAAAATAAATTCTAATGGTCCCAAAGTGAGGATGGAAGGTCCCAACCAGGTTATAGGAAGTATATATATAACAATAAAGTTGAGTACAGTATTTCTGTATAAACTAATCGTCAGTTAAAATAAACTCAAAATCAACACAGATTTGATTTCACGCTCAATACTGTGGGATATCTGCCATGTTCTTTCTCTTGCATGAGTTGACCTAATAGGTCGAATCACTAATTACGATAACCAATCAAAATGCTGGATGCCAACGTGTTCAGATTACCATAGCTCATTTAAATATGTTAATTTTATTGAACTCAACGCGAAAGAGATTTGCCTATGTTGTAATACGATCTTTTGGCTTGGATTTTGATGGGAAAACGGCATGACGTTTTTTTTCAAATAAAAAAATAGTTGTTTTCAAAAGATAAGCCGAGCATTTGAAGAATAATTTAACATTGTTTACAATGATCAAGGCTCATTGTTGAAATAAAGCTTACCCATTTACGCTAGTCATAATAAACATACAGATCAAAGGGTTGGGGGCAGAGTCACAAAATAGGGTGTCTGCGTCTTCCATGCGCGCTGTAATTGCACAACCACAGATCAAATTCGGGGGCCTTTTGGGAGCCGATAGCTGGGTCACATGCCTGACAAATGTACGATGGGTTTACATTACAATGATGAACATTTTTCTATCGTCCCAAAAAAGATTCCAAAGTGAATTTCTAGTGGTTCCGGCCTAAATTTTTAGTGTCCTGGGCCGTCGGGACGATGTTGATTTCGAGGCGTAAGTGCCAGTTCAAATACTGGTAACCACTATATTCCCTCCACCACTAAGGGGCAGTATGAATACCGGTAACCATTAACTATAACCCCTCCAGCACAACATGCCAGCACAACAACTACATCCGCTGCCAGCACTACAGGCCAGCATAACTGGTAACCACTATAACCGTCCCCAACAGTACATGACAGTACAGTAACCATGACATCCACCACAAACACTACATGCAGGTACTATCACAGTAACCACTATTTCCCTTGCCAGCACTACACAACAGTATTATCACTGGCAACCACTATAACCATCACCAACAATACATGATAGTACATTATCCAGTAACCATGACATCCATCCCAAACGCTACTGTCACTGGTAACCACTATATGCCCCACCAGCACTATGTGCTGGGTTGATAGTCTAAGAGATGTAATTTGCATAAAAAGTCCACCCAGTTCAATGCAAGGGACAGTGGATAATTAAAACATGTGTACAGCAAACATAATCTTTTTATTTAGAAAGGGGAGGACAGTCGAAAATGACCTGTCTTGTTTTATAGTTTGTAACCTTTATTTTTATTTATTTTTCACTCTAAAATCAGATTTACCTCTTCCTCTTCTTTCAAATGTGGTAGAAAGTCCTTGGTAAATTCCCTCAATGCTTTGACCAGCATTCGACCAAAATGCACTCTGTCATCCTCCGTCTTATTCTTACCCCTCTTAAAGCAATCTTCCACTAAATCTAACATATCAGTCAAATGATTGTCCGAGTGCACATTTGTAACAGCAGCTATCTCAATTTTAAGTCTTTTCAATCTGCTTTTTAACTTCCACATAATGCACTCATTTTCTATCTTCTCATGGAACTTGAAGTCAGTAAAAGTTGTTCGTAGATTGTCCAGCATTCTGTCCCAATCTACATGATTGGAGAAGTTAGTTGCTGACAGCTGCAAAAGGTGAAAGAAAAAGATTTTAGTTTTAGATTAGTTAAAATTAATTAGGTTAATTAATTAATTTTGAATACGATCAATACAGATTCGAGCCAACAGATATTGTACGACCATAAAAGCTTTCGCTAACATGATTTGGTGAGCGACAAACAATCCCTTTTTGATATAGAAGAGTCAATGCTGTTTAATAATAAATTTGTAATCTGCATTAAATTCTGCACTATGCATGAAAACTAACATAAAAACAAGACAAACAAAGGCCATAGTGTCACAGTGGCATTAAACATTGTGTGGGACTAAAAAGTATTATTTGGGTATTTTCATGCTTAATAATTTGCTATACACATTTGTCAATTTGGATGAAATAATGATATCTCAATGCCATGTTTCTTTTGGTATTTTGATTAAAAAAAGAAATTCAAAATCAAATCATTTGATTTTTGTGGCAGACATTCATCTGTACCTTTCACTCATAACGGGACATTTGAGTTTACAATTTAAGATACTTTGGGATAATCATTGCTAGGTCATAGGTCATTAGAACAGGTATACAACATGTTTTACACTATATTCACACACAGCATACAAATAACCAAAAAAAAGATTCTAAAATGGCTATTTACACACAGCATACACGTCAAGTTTTATGGTTTTGCCATTGTATCTACAGTTTTAAATCAAACCAACTGTGTTAAAATGCATTAATTGAAATTCTACAATTTTCCCTTCACCGTGGTTTGACTGATAATTGACTGTTTATTACTGTCAGGACATTGTCTGAACCTGGAACATGATTTCATACGGATGATACTACCCTAGTTATATGTACTGTATAAAAATAATCATGTTGTACATAAATATAAATTATGAATTTGGTTTTATAATTTTAATTTTCCAATATTTTAATCCACAGTGAATAGTTGCACAGTAACTACTACCAGCCTCCACTCATAGTTGTTTGTTGTATAAATCACACACTTTAAAGAAACTACGGAGAAATAATGTGATCTGCGTTAGATCACACATATACAGTAAAACCTGTCAAAACCGACCATGACTGGGACTGGGATCTATGGTCGGTTTTCAGAGGGAGTCGGTTTATTCAGGGGGGGCGTG